TGAATTTAATGTAAGACAAACTCGAAATAATCACAATTTTTATTTATCTGATTGGTAGATCTTATTCGTAAACATCATGAAAATCACAAAATCCACCCATATGGTTTGTGCAAGGCAGAAGGCATCACCAACAGCACTCTAATTTGAATGTTGGTGTGCCTTTCTTAGTCTGGCAACAGTCATACTCCTCTTTGCTCTTTTGGCCCAAAAGAGATGATAGGTCTAGAGAATTAAAAGAGAATAAAGTTGTTTGCTACCTATGTAAAGGAAAGGGTCATTTCGCTAATGAGTATAGTTCTAGAAAGTACTTGGGGTTGCCCTTTCAAGATGATAAGTCCTAGCCGGGAAATAGCTGACTATGCCTGGAGTTGTTAAAGAAAAAGAAGGTGGTTTCAGAGGAGCGGGTAACTGGGAGTATTTACAGTTGTGTAGTGGTAGAGTATTGGAAAGAAGTGATTTAGCCTTCTTAGTTGGTTTTGAGATAGTTAAAGGAAGGGATATCCTTGTTTCTAAGAAGTTTAGTGCATTTAATAGCCTGCTCGGATCCAAGGCCCTATCATTTTACAAAGAAGGAGGAGTGTTGGTTAGAAAAGGAGTTTAAAAGGTTAGAAGTATCAGAGACAATTACAAAAAATTGGCAAAGAAAACTGTTGGCTAGCGAGTCTTTTGGGGATGAGCCCAGTGTTTTTGGTTTCAAAACAGAGACCTTGGAAGTTCCGTCTCGTGATAAATCTACAAAGGTAGAATCGAGGCTTGTCTTAGAAATCCTTTCATTTTGAGGGTTTGGAGAGCCTTTTGCGTACAATTGGAAAAGGTTGGTAAGCAATATCATTCAATTTGAAAGATAGGTACCACTACATTCTTATGAGTTCCAAGACACAATGACTATTAGGTTTCATTGTGACAGAAACAGGTTCCGGCACAATGTGTTGCTATTTGGCTTAAGTCAGGCCCCCTAGGTATTTTCAAAGATACACTCTACCCTTGTTATAACAGACCTCGACATAGCGGATACCTTATTATAACGAAGTAATTTTCTAAAACAATTTAAAATTATTATTATTACATTATATATTATTATAACAGATATTTATTTATAATGGATATAATGGACAAAATCTTTCAGCCCAAAGGGTCTGTTATAATGAGGGTTGAGTGTAATAAGGGCTTTAATCAGCAAGTGGTGGGTCCAGGAAGTTTATTGTAACAACCATCTGGACAATATATAGGTTGTGTACCTATAGAAGGAAATGTTATTAGAGATAAGAGAAAAGGTGATAGAGGTGGATCTAGCAGGGTGTGGCTAAATTTGGGCCAAGAAAAAGGGGTGTCAGGACTTGACCCAATCTATAAAATTTTTGTGGAATAATTGTGGACACCTTAAACGGTATAGTGGTATCCTCAGAGGAAAAGATAAACTCACGGTTGTTATGTTGAAGGCTCTTTTGAAGGCACCTACTGTTTCGATAAGAAGTTTCCATTAGTTGCAGGAAAGGTAGTGAGTCTTGGAAGGGTCTTTTTTCTGAGTTAGGTAAAGTGTATAGAGTTTTACAAGTTGATAGATTCAAGAAATCAACTTGTTTGGCAATGGAAAAAAAAAGTTTAATTAATGTCACAGGCAATCGAGGATATCTGTTGGTTGACAGTGAACTTGAGAAAGTGGAATAGTCAGCCAGTCTGGAAACCTTGTCAAGTAAGGTTGGTATACATCAATGCTTTGAAAAAGGGCTAATGTGGTGTTTTCCAGGAGTTCAGAGTGGCAGGAAGTTAGTCACAACCCCACAATGCAAATGAGATAGCACAGTTGGAGTCTTTGGCAGTACTTTAGGCACTTCAGTCCTTTAGAGAGCTGTTAAAAGCGACATGGGTGATGTTATTCATTGATAATAGGAAGTGTGTATCAAGGCCGATATTGGGATTTTAGCACGAGGTGGGTTCCAAGTGCTCTAAACCCAGTGGATATGTTGACAAGAGTGTTGTACCAAGAGGACTGGGTGTTGAGTCCAGAAGCAATAACATAGCTAGAGTGGGCTTGGGGGTGTTTCGAAGTAGACAGATTTGTGAGCCATCTAAATACAAAGACCCAGAGATTCAACAGTCTTTATTTCTGCTCTGGGTTAGAGGCAGTAAACTATTTCACCTAGAACTGGGCTGAGTAAAGAATTATGTTTGCCCCCTTTCTGTTTAATTCACAGGGCTCTGAGCCATGCAAAGGAGTGTGGGGCATGGATTGTGATTATAGTTCCGGTATAGGTCTTGGCCCATCGTGGCCTCTTGTAGTAAACTCTCCAATAGAGAAAATTGAGTTGCCTCTGATGAGCAAAATTGTAGGACCAGGATCTTCAGGAAACCTGGAGCCATACAAAAATGACCAGTGGTTGTTGAGAGCGATATAGTTGAATTGGTCAAAAGCTCTTAGTTAGGGCAGAGCATTTAATAGATAATTCTATTAGTGTGGTATATAAAAAGTGCTTGTTAAAAGTTCAAAGCATTTTTGACAGTTTTGCAGGTTGGATTGTGTTGGCCCTATATTCTGTATCAAGGGATTTGTTGGCAGCTTTTCTTGCCTAGATAAAATTATCGGATAGGATATTAGAGATTCAAATGTGCTTGGTCACTATAGTGAGAGAGCACAAAATAAGGGGTTTGGAGGGCCCTATGAAGGGCAGTTTGGTCTGTTTAATTGTGGAAGAGATTAAAAAAATAGCTGCTCAAGATAAGGTTGAAGCAAAATGGCCAAGAGCCCCTCTTCTAGTCTCAGTAATTGAGAGGTATATTGACTACTCCCTGCCCAGAGTTAGTGGGTCTGTGTGGGTGTGTGATTGGCATTAGTTGCCTTGGGGCTAAGGGTTATGCGTAGGCTGGGAGAGCTTTGCAATCTGAAGAGGTCAGATGTTGTTAAAAAGGACAGGAAGTTGTGGGTTAGGGTATCTAAGTTGAAGACAAATCAGTTGAGAAAAGGCAAATTTATTTTGGTAGAGAGGTCTTCAAGCAGAGTATGCCCCATAAAAATGTTAATCTACTACCTGAGGTTAAGACTGGTTACACCACTAGAGAAGCCCCTATTTTGTTTAGGAATGGGGAGAAGTTATTGGTAATAGCGGTTTCAGCAATAGTGAAGCATTTTGCATATAATACTGGGCTGCATGAGAGGTACACAGCCCATAGCCTAAAGATTGGTGATGCAACTGCAGCTATGAAGAGAGGAATATCGTTAGAGCAAATTTAGTCTATTGGTAGTTAGTCTTCAGGAGCAGTTCAGGTTTACATGAAAGCAATCAGTACCGCTAAGTTGGGGCCTCTAGACTAATGGGCTTTGTGTAGCACTAAAGGAAACATTGTATACATCCCAGCTCCCTTTTTGTCGATACTCTACAAGACCCATAGCTGTTTTTCTTTTTTTTTTTGTTTTCCATTTTGTTTTTTATTTTGTCATTTTCTTGCTTTCACATTGTTTTTAACCCATAACACCTCTCCTTGATAAGAGACAAAATTAGCTGCCTAATATGAAAGTATTGGAGCAGCATTTTGTCTCAAATCGATCACGGGTATATGATTAGTAGGGATATTGTGATTTGTCATGTGACTTACATCATTTGAGGCTTCACAGTGATTTATTGTATGATTTCAATTTATTCATTATTGTGATTTGTCATATAATTCGTATTTGATTGTTTGACGTATTGATGTAGTATCTGTGATTAGTAATTAGTAGTAGTAGTATTTAGAGAAAACTGATTTTTTCTTATGAAAAGTATCTTCTGTTTTTTTTGCTAACCCAACTTTGTCTAGTTTTTTTATCCTGTTCTACCTAACCCTTGTATATTTATACAGCAACTTGGGTCTATTGGGGCCTTCTAAGGCAGCGTTTGTTGTTTTTTTGCTATTTTGTAAGTGTGGCCTGTAGGAAGACAGTCTCAAGAGTTTTATGATTTTGTGTTTGTCGAAGTGATATGTTTAAACAACAGGCATAAAATGACTTCTTTGTATGTTTCTACATAGTAGTAGCCTGTCAGGACAGCAGTCACAAAGAAAATTTTTGTACAGGTTTTAGAAATCTCCTTTATCGTTAGAGCAGTTATAAAGATATTTAGCGCTTTTTTCGGTTAGTGTGACTGGTTTTTGTCATCTGCCATCTTATAATAAGTAATAGCTCTAGAAGGCAGTTAGTTTTAGGACAGATTTTTTGATACTTTTGAGGTTTGCACTTTTGGTAGTATAGATTGTATAGCATATGACAGATGGGGCGATAACCCATAGCTGTTTTTCTTTTGCTTTGTTTTCAATTTTGTTTTTCATTTTGTCGTTTTCTTGCTTTTAGTTTGTTTTTGACCCATAACACCCCTCCTTGATGAGGAACAAAAGAGCAAGATTTGGGTAAAAATTTAAGCACATATCTGAAGGGAAAATATAAATTCCAAAAATTATATTATGCGATATCATGCATATTTTATATAACATGTGCATTAATGCACATTTATGCACATATTATTATAAAATGCACATTTTTTTATCTCTAATAAAATTCATTATATAGTATATATTATTTGATCATTATACCTTTTATTGAAAATAAGAAATTTAAATTCATTGAAAATATAAATGTTTTAGTAAAGAAATCCAAGCCCATGAAGGAAAATCAATTCATCTCTTAGAATATAATGTGGAAAATAATTAAATTATTCTTAAAAAAGAAGTATTAGACATAATTGAAGGGATTAGTGAACTTGTAGCTATTATCGCTGTTGGTATGTTAATTTAGCTATGTTTGCATACAAATTTTAAAAGTTAAATAGTGATACTTAATTAAGAGTTAATAAAAATTATAATCAATACAGTCAGATCTTCCTAAATGCAACCCCCTAAATGCAATACCTCTCTAAATACACAATAGAAGACTAGCTCTATAATGGGACTTATAGATAAGTGCATACATTTTATTCTGCAATTGTATACTAATTGTCTAGCCTATTTATAAAAATTATCTATAAATGCAACCAAGTGATTATTAACCAATCAAATTTATCATTTCCAGGCTACTAAAGCTATATTTATTATATGATAATAGTAACATTATGGTTTTATTAGTGTTTTCTAATTGCAACCCTCTCTAAATACACACTCTAGAGCTAGTTCTGGCGATGTGTATTTATAGAGATCTGACTGTAGCTGAATCTTTTCGCAGGATAAATCCTGGTTTGTGGATGTTTTACATAGATGCCATGATAGTGCAGAGGTGCATATATTATAAATATATATATTTTAAAGCTTATAATTTATATTTTCAAACAACAGGTAGAAGGATGCACATAAGGAATTTACATGTAGGATACTCCTTTCCTTTATAATAGAAAGTAAGTCATTGTTCTTAACTGTGAAAGCATCGATGAATTTCAACAAATTCAATAATGTGCAACAAAATTATTTATTTTATGTCTACTAATTTCATCTTCCTTTATTTATAACATAAATAGAATTGTTGATAAAGCCGATACTGGAAAGCTATTTTTAATGAACAAGTTATAAAAATACATCTATTCACCAAATAATTGTAAATTTTTTTCAAGATTGGTGGTATTGCTTTGTGATTTTATACTAAAGGCTCCTAATGATTTTCGAACTTATTTTTTAAAAAAATTATATAAAGTAAATGCTGAAGGCAAATGAGAAGATCTCTGTATTTCTATCACAAAACTTTCTTTTCTTTGTTTCTTGTGTTTGCTGGTTCAATAAATTAAAATATAATTTCATTTTTTTCTACAACCTCCAATGCATTAAAAGATCGTTTTGTGGATTTTGAAGTTTACATAATCAATTTTTTCTGATAATTACCTATATTTTTTAACAGTAATTATATATATTATTTTTTTTGTTATAGTTTCATAGACTTCTCAAAGAAAAACTACAGCATATAGATAAAGTAACTACATCCAAATTAGAACAGGATTTAATAGTAGATGTGATAGCAGCTGTGAATATAATTTTTAACAATCTCTAACCAAAGTATATAGGAGCATCTCCAATGTCTGGTACCTCTTTTGCAAAATTTCTTCAAGAATGTGTTAGATCATTAAATAATACTGAAAATTGTATTCAAATATCAGTACCAGATGAATATGAATCTGTAGTAGAATATGTTGACAAAAGTCCATATAACATTGTAACAAAGACTTATAGAATAGAAACACAACAACACCAATTACCCATGCTTTAGAAAGATTTTGATAAAATGCATGAGAGAGCTTTTAGTGAAGTAAAAACTAAATTTTTTAATAGAGTAATAGGATCAGCAAGTCAAATATATGAATTCCAACAAGAATCCTATAAAATAATTAAAAAGAATAGACTTCTGTTTCATAAAAAGAATTCAGCAGCATTATGTTAACATAATTGTGATTTAGGAATGGAACTCTGAAAACTTATGTGAAGCATGGACTTATCTTTGAATCCATTTTTAAGATAAGTAATTCGATCACTATAACCAAACTTTAATTATAAATCCAATAATTATAATAGTAATCGTAAAAATAAAATATATATCACTATATTAAAAAAAATGCTTTAATTTATAGACTCAAGAGGATTTTGAAGGTGCTATTGCAATATTTGAATGAGAAATGTTGGATAAAATATTGGAAGGACCAGAATTTGAAAGAGTGATGTCAGAATTCAAATCCAAAGAATATCAAGATGCTGTCAACATACTCTAATTATATGAAATACGTGAACAAAAACTTGTTGACGAAATGAAAGCAAATCAAGAATCTTAGACAAAGTTGCTCAAATTGACAGCAAGAGAACAAAAATTAACTGATGAAATGGAAAAACTTAAGAGAGAAATAAAGAAATTAGAATAAGCTTTGAAATGAAAATTAAAGAGATAGATAAATGTTTAATCGATTAACAAATTCAAAATTCTCAAATGTTTGAAGATCTCCGAAATGATCATAATTTGGCTATAACAATGCTAAAATCAGAGAAGGGAGAAATACTTAGTCTACAAAAACAGATTGAAGAATTGAAATCGAAAAAGAAACATTGGAAAAATATTCTTACAGAAGCGGTGCCAACTTTGATATTTGGAATTAAAATTTTTATTGATCTATATATAAATAAAGTAGGTTAATCAATATTGCAAATTTCTTGATTTTTAAATGACTTCTATGATGTTTCACTTCATATTCTCTTATTACAATTATGACAAAATTTTAACCTTCTAATATGATAAAATAGATTAATGCAAAAAATAGGATTAACGATAACAACATGTTGACAGCTCTAATCACTGAGAATGAGCATCAGAAGAATGTTTATTTATACAATGAAATTTTGAAAAAAATACATGAAGGATACTTTTTTCTATAACTAAATCTGATAACATTTTACAAAGGAGTAATCAAATGTTACAATATTTTTTGCTTATTTGTTGCAATAGTTTTTTTTCCTAAATGATTACCTGCAGTGAATACAACTTTTAATTCGGCTATTTGCATATATTAAATACACATATACCCAGTTTTTTTTTGAAGTGGCTTTTTCATGTATGTTTTTTAAAGTGTTTGGGTTTGTTTAGTATACGTACAGTATATATACTGTTGAACCTCCCAAAATCGACCCTCTTAAAACTGATAAAAAATTAGTTTACCAAGTTCGTTTCTGTTATATAAATCTAATAGTTTATAATACTTTCAAATCTGATACTGTTGAACTTCCCAAAATCGATCCTCTCAAAACTGATAACCTGTCAAATCTGATAAAAAATTAGTTTACCAAGTTCGTTTCCGTTATAAAAATCTAATAATTTATAATGCTTTCAAATCCGATAACCTCTCAAAACTGATACAAAATCTATTCACCATGCATATCGGTTTGGGGAGGTTCATCAGTATAAGTAAAGCTCATCATGTCATATGAGAAAAATTTTTTGTAATATGTAATGTAGAAACCAACTTGAGTCGTTAGTATTTTACATTGAGGTTTATTGTTTTCTAACCTGGGATACAATAGGATACAAAAGTTTCAAGATCTAGATGAGAAGTAAAGTTTTCAAAAGGTCGGAAAGTAGTTTGGCGACCTAAACAATTGGTGAGTAAAGTTGCAAGATTCTGTTTCAATTAGCTAATAAAAAGTATTATTTCGAACTACATACTAAACTGTACTTAATTTTTTTTGTTATATTCATTTAGGCTATAAGTATAGTTAAAAAAAATACAACGTTTATAGTGGTAGTTGTTAGGAATCTTAGCGTATTTTAGAATCCAAGTTAAATATTGTATTGCGAAACTTAATTGTTTATTGTAAAATTAATGTATTTATTGTGAAAATAATAATATATACATCGCAAAATATGAATAAAGTAGCTATTATGAATCAATTAATATATTGTAAGACTATAATACGCGTCTTTAGACAAATTTTTTGAAAGTTTTATGAGTAATAAATTCTCGTCCGGGTATGGCCAACACTTTATCCAGGGTATTTTACCAACCAATAAAAATGAACTTCCGCTATGCTGATACGAATAGGTTCTTTTACTTGTTCTCTATTTATATGGGCAACAATAACCTCTAGATTACTATCAAATGGGTTTATTACGAACGATTTTAGGTCAAGTGGGAACGATTTATTTAAGGAACATCTTTTACTATGAAGTCTTCGAAGTTTTAAACTCTAATGAGTTGTTCTTTATTTACAGTGAGCACAAGTAGAGATGGGAAAAATGCGCATTTTATAATAACATGCGCATGAATGCGCATTAATGCGCACGTTATATAAAATGCGCATGATATCGCATGATATAATTTTTTTGATTTTATATTTTCCCTCCGCAAAATAGCGGATTTTGCAAAAATTTTTTCCTCGATCTTTATGTTCGTTCATTTTCTTTTCTGAATTTTTCAAAACTTCTGCATTCTTATTTCTTAATTTTGTCTGGCATTGTACACCTTGGCCTAAATTAATTATACTTTAATTTTCCTATACAAAATTTAGATGAAATAAAATGCGCATGAAACCCATCTCTAAGCACAAGGCTCTTATATACTAAAGTTTTACAGGCTAATAATTGGTTCAATTGATTCAATTGAATCTATTGACTCTTTCGATTCAATTGTTTCAATTGAATCTATCGAATTAATTGTATCAATTTATTAGCTATAAATGGAAATCCCACTATAGTTGCCGTCCAAATAGTTTTTACTATTGGCCCAAACTTAAACTATATTGACCTAAATTTTGACTCAAATCCCACTTTTTGTTCCAAACTCATTTTTAGTCCCAAACTTATCCCAAATCCCAAATTTGTTCCAAATCCCAATTTAATTCCAAATCTCAAATTGTTACAAATTCTAAATATGTCCAAATTTTAAGCTAGTTTCTAATTCCGAATTCGTATTAACTTTCCATATATAAATTTTTATAATTTGTTTTAAGCATTTTTAGCATTAATTTATTATAGCATTATACTATATTACAATTCTATTTTAGATTAGTACATATTATCTAATATTGCATAGAAATAAAATTTGTTTTGTATCTATAATACATCATTATTCTATTCTAGATTAGTATCATCTAACATTGCATCGATATCAAAATTTGTTGTTCCATGATTGATTTCCTAAAACCTGGGTAAAAATTATTAATTATCTAAAATATGTAATAATTTTGGTAATCCGAGTAATTTAATAGTACTTAGATAAAAATTTTCTCAATGTATTTAATCTTTAAATTTATCTAAATCCGAATAAAAAATTAGTAAAATTCACTAATATGCTAATCAAGAAATAATAAATAAATGTTTCTAGTTGAGTTTGTAAATAGAAGTTTATAAGTTTTTAGATAAATTGTTAAATAAAAAGTTAAAGGTACATATTTAAATACAATAAGTGTAAGTGTGAACAAATAGAAAGTATTATATTTTCAATATTTAAATATTAATTAACTATGCTACATAAGAATTCTTAAATTTATACATACATACGTACAGTATATACTATATGTAAGGAATTTGTACATCGGATTGGGATTTGTACTTTATTTAGGATTTATACTTAGGATTGGAATTTGTACTTTATTTAGGATTTATACTTAGGATTGGAATTTATGCCTTGTTTGGGATTTGCATATAGGATTGGGATTTGTACATAGGATTGGGATTGGGCCATGTTCTTTACTAATTTGGGCTTTATATATAAAAGGTTTTAACTAGTCCAAACTATGGTTAATACCCTGGGAAGTCCTAAAGTGCCAAACTAGTTTGGTATGGATGGCAACTATAAACCTAACCCTAAAAAATCCCTAACAAAAAGTTTAAAATTTCATAATAAAATAGGTCAAAAATTCAGCATTAACCAAATTTAGCATTAGCTGTGACAATATATAGATAAATAAATTTAACATATTTTTAAAAGTTCCAAAGTTTCATCTAAGAATAATTCAATTTTATAAAATTATATAACACGTGATTGTATATATTTTTTTTAGATTTACCTTTAGTTGTTTGTCCCAGGTAGGGCTTCTAGGTTTGGTTCAGGTTTGGTCCGGTTTGAATAATTTCAAACTCAAACTGCTAATTTTTAAACTTAAACAAGCACAAACTTAATTATAAATTTAGTTTGAGTTTTATTTGGGTTTGGTCTGAAGTTTGCAAACTAGGTTAAGTTTGAAAATATAATATATGCGCTGATTTTGGTTTGACCCAAAATTAACCAATCATAATTGAGGATTATCAACCTATTTTGTGCATAAAATTTATTACAAACTGAATTTTCATAAAAACAGCTCTTTTAACTAACTTTATGCTCCTAATTAAATACATAGAAAATTGCAATATTTATATATTTTATTATAAGCCAAAAGTAAGTTAAAAGATTGTTTTTTGAAAAATTGTTTCTGAATTCACCTTAAACAGTTAGAAACCAATTGAATGATGATTAACCAATCCTAAAACACCTAAGTATATCAACAAATGATAAAAGTACCACTTTCTACTGCTTATAATAGTTGTTTTATTAACTTTTATTTGTATTTTATCTTGTCTAGATGCCAAAAAAGCTCTTTTATTAATTATAACAAATGCTATGTGTTATTTTTTAATATTACTAGGGCAAAAATTTTATGTAACTGTTTATTTAAAAAAGGTCTACAAAACAAAATCAGCCTATATAAATGTATTTTTAGTGCTAAATAGGTTTACTTAGAGCATAAAGATAA